TGCCAACTTGGGCCAGTGAAGCAACGTCCTCCACAACTAGACTGAAGAACAAAAGGACAGCAACTTGTCTGTTCCCCTTCCCCCAACTCCCCAGCCCTGTTCCCATCCCCCAATTCCCCAATTTTAAAACAAATCTTTAAAAAAAAAAGAATGTGCGAGTAAAAAATTTATTCAGGGGCCAGCCAAATGGTTTAGTTGATTAAGAGCATGAGCTCTGAGCAACAGGGTCGCCGGTTCGATTCCCACATGGGCCAGTGAGATGCAAACGAGCTGAGCTGCCACTGAGCTGTCAACAGGTGGAAGGATGGCTCAGTTGGTGAGAGTACATGATCCTAACAACAACGTTGCTGGTTCGACTCCTGCATGGGATGGTGGGCTAAAATTGAACACGGTACCTTGAGCTGAGCGGTCGTGAGCTGCCAATGGGCAGCTGGATGGCGACTGGATTTGGAGCTGAGCTTGCTGCGCCCTCCACAACTAAGATTGAAGAACAATAACTTGGCTCTTCCCCTCCCCCAATTCCCCAATAAAGAAAAATCTTTAAAAAAATTTCAGAGGACTATGTGCATCTCTTCTCCATCAGAAGAGTGTTTTAGTGTGTTTGGGGGGAGGCTTGGGACTGGTTTAAGTAGGAACACAATGGATTCAGTTAGATCCACTCGTTTTATTTTAAAAGAACAACAATTATTGATGCAACAACATATATTCATATTCAACAAATATTTTCTGAGCATGTCTTATGTAACAAGCATTGCCCTAGGCTCTGGGGATATGATGGTGAATCTAGACAGTCACAGTCCTTGACTTTATAGTGCAACATAGTTTAGTGGAGGAAGGCAGTTGTCAATTATGAGATACATTTAAATATCTCATCATAAATGTATAAATAGTATGAAGAAAAAGCACAGCAGGCTACAGGAGGCTACAAGAGAGTAAAATCAGGGCACTTTCTCTATTCTGGGGTTATTGAGAAAGGTTACCCTGAGGAAGTAACATTTAAGCTGGGACCTGTGGGATTGAATGAGTGGTTGACTTGTGAAGAGGTGTAGAGAGACTGGCCTAGATGGAGGAAGTGCATGCATGTGTGAGGGCCCTCAGGGGGCACATGATGAGTGAGGGGCATTGCCACGCAGGCAGGCGCAGGTTCTCAGACATCGGAAGTGCTTCAGAGATGGATCTGCCAGACAGAGAGATGGAGTGCAGGCTAAATAACCACAGGAGCTCCACCCTGCTTTGATTCTAAGGGGGAAAAATCACAAATTAGTTGGAGGTACGAGGGGGCCACGGGAGACAACAGGAAGGAACTGGCCGACAGGCTAGGCAAAATTGAAACACTGCATTCTACCCCCGTTACATTTCCAGAAACCTCGGGGCAATACTCTGTGTGGCCTTCTGGAATCATAACTGGTAAGGGTAAAGGGCGGTGCATCTTCTATGTCTGAGCTACAGAATTGAGCTTTTCCTTTTGGATTGCCATGAGATTTTCATGAGCAGTAGTCAGCTAGAGGGCCTAGTAATATGTAGTGATTATGTATTTCCCTAAGCTATTTGAAACAAGAGAATGCATGTGCTAACGTTTTGGCAAAAGTAGAGGGTTTGGCGGTAAGGTAAATGAGGTAGGTCGAAGGGTAATTGCAGGAAATGGGGCTGTAGCCCCACGCTGCAGAGGAGCTAGGTGGGGGCGCACTATTTGACGGTCCATTGTCGCTGTGCCTACGGAGGTGAGGGGAGGAGGACAAGGGAGACCAGGGTCGGACACTGAGCAGGAAAGAAGAGTGAACGAACCAGAGAGCGCTCTCTACCAGCGGGGGCGGGAGGCAGCTGGGTCCCCAGGGCCAGGAAAGGGGCCTGAGGAGGCGGCGCGGGCCCCGCCCCCTTCCCTCGCGGGCGCGGGCGCGAGACGTTGCGCGGCAGCAGCGGCGGGCGCGAGCGGCAGCTGTCAGGCCGCGGAGGTCCAAGCTGCACTTGCCTCCCCACTGAGGACGAGGAGGCAGCAGAAGCAGTGACGGTGTCGCTGAGCTGCCGGGCTGCCGGCACGCAGAGCTAACTGCCTGGCGCCCGCGGCTCTCTCCCATCTCTGTTCCTTTGTGTCGGGTAAGGTGCCGGTGCGTGGGCTGGGAGTGCGGCCAGCGATCCGGACCCCGGAGGCCGGGAGGTGGGGGGCCTGGAGGAAGACGGAGAAAGGGAGGTCTAGGTGATCTCCAGCGGTGCTCGCACCTTGGGAAAGGGGGCCTCGGCGCTGCAGGGGTCGGAATTGGGGGGCAGGTAACGATGGAGGGGGCGTTGCTGAGTAATCTGAGCGGCTGCCAGAGCTGGGCAGGGAAGGGTAGGATTCCGTGGGGAGCGGGTGTGGCTCAATGCGCATGCGCCACGGCCTCTGGTTTTTAAGAGCTGGGGGTGAGGTGAGAGAACCTGGGTCTGAGGTAGTTGAAACTATGCGTGACTTCTCACTTTCTATAGATCCCCAAAGCTAACAGCGCCCCTGTCAGAGATGACAACTGTCCCGGTCTCCTAAGAAAGCTCCTTTTCCCTGTACCCTGACCACTTAATGCCACCCAAACCTTACCTATTTGTCTCCAGGCAGTCTACTTGGGAAGAAGTGGCCTGGGGACAGTGCCAAATTGTTATCTAGTGTGCCTTCAGGCTCATAGCTCCAGAGCTGTCGTTAGGAATGAAAGATTAGAGGTGGAATTCCATAGTGGACCCTTCTAGTTGCATATAGGATCTAAGAATGGGCATTAAATGTGGGAATAGCGTTTCATTGGCATGACAGCTGTGCCATTTGGACTCTGCGCATGGATTTGGCTGATAACTTGTTACCTCTATGAAATGAATCCAGTGCGTCAGAAGACTTCCACGATAGGAATCACGCCCCGCCCCCAAGCATCAGGTTGTATTGGAAACAACCTACACCCTTTAAGGTAGAAGAGCCTCAAAAATTCAATCATTTCTCATTTGTATTGATTTTCCCATAAATTTAAAAAACTCTCGCCCAGTTCTCTAGTGCAGTATCAGCAAATTGTGCCAAGAATCAACAGTGACTTGAGTAGCCTCAACCAGTGTGTCACCACAAGATGGGCTTTCCCCACAGCTCCAGCCATGGCTCCTCCGCGGTGCAGACTGCCACCTGGGCCACTCTTGTCCACTGCCTAGCACTCCCGTGCTGCTCTTCCCCCCACCCCCAGCCCTGCAGCGCACATCCCTCTCAAGACTTGTTCCCAAATAATCTACACTATGGATTTGAGCATAATTCCACCATGGCAACCGAACTGATGTCGCCAACTTGCTTTTCTATCTCTCTTCTCCCCATCATCACACTGAGATGTACTATTTTCAAAGGTCCAGCCTCTTTCTCATCCTTGTACTGCCTCCTCCCTCACCTCCAGCCCCACCCCCAACTAAATACAATCAGTTTAATAAGCCTGTGTAGGGTGCCAGCACAGCAGATTCAGAAGGTTTCAAATGTGTTGAAGAACAAAGAAAGCTGGCGAGTTTCAGTTGTGTGAATTCCTAATTCTCTTTACTGTCCAAGACTTAGACCTTAATTGGAGGGAAAAAGTGAATAAACTATCCTTAGAGAATGCTTGTTAATCTATTTGGGGGAGTGCGGTAGGAAAGGGGAATTACATCTCTAGGATATTTGAGTCAGTTAAAGCCAGATCTTCCTCTGAATAGGACCAAAATCAGAATAAACATTTTAGTCCAAATCCTTACCTATATGGGACCCATAAGGGATGTATAAGGGGTTTCACTTTCCTATTAAATGTACTTAGGGTTATCAAAGAATTATTTTGCCTATTTAATGTTACCTTCTTTTAAGAGTTGACTCAAATTTGGAACAGTCTGTGGGAGGAAAAATTGTCTGATTTGCTTTTATATTGTGCTAGTTCTTTTCAATTTAAGTATGTACTGAAGGAGATCACACTTATTTTCAAACGATGATGATGGTGGTGGGGATGCCAGCAACCACTGAAAACAAAAAGTGGAGATAATTATTCTCCTTGTTTTGGATGGGAATGGAGAAATGTATATATTCATATTTTAAATGTGAGGGGGAGGGTGGGAAACTGGAGCATTTTCACCTACTTTCAACGGGTGGAATTTCTATTAAGTCCATCTAGAAAGTGATTCAGATAAGTCCATAACTTCTGCTCTTTAGTCACCTTATAAATAATAGCATTTGGACATCTTACAGAACTGCGAATCTATTGTACCTTGGCATTAATTCAAAGGCATTAGTTCTGCGCACCTACCTAAGTAGTTAATTAATGAACAAATATTTATTTATTTATTTATATTAGTTTCAGGTGTACAAAACAATGTAATAGACATTTCACCCATCACAAAATGATAACCCGCTCCCCCAATCTATTGCCCCTCTGACGTCATATATATCAACAGTAAGTCCCTGACTTACGAACATTCGAGTTGCGAACTTTCACAGATACGAACAGACTTCACATTATGGACATTCTTAGGTGCGAACAAATCACAGAAGTAGCTCACGTGTCTGCCGGACATTGTCACAGTTGTGCTGCTGTGTGCTTACAGTAAAGTGCAATACTGTACAGTAGTACAGTGCTCAATCAGAGCCCAGGATGTCCAGAAGCAAGAGGAAAAGCAGTGGTGATGTGGAGGGGACTGCTAGGAAGTGCAAAGACTCACTTTGTCGGAGTTACGAACAAATCCAACTTATGAAGAGTCTCCCAGAACGGAACTTATTCATAAGTCCGGGACTTACTGTACTACAATTTCATTGACTCTATTCCCTATGCTCTACTCCATAACCCGTGACTATATATATATATATATATATATATATATATATATATATATATATAAAATTAGAGTTGACATACACTATTATTCAGCTTCAGCTTCAGGTATACCGAACAAATATTTATTGATTAGCCATATGAAGGACCCTGGTGCTGCATGCTGAAGGGGCTTCAAAGATATATACAAACAGAAGCCTTACTATCCAGGAATTTAAAATGTGGTTGTGTCAGAAAGACATACTTGGAAAAAAAGTTTTTGTTAACAAAATAAGGCAATATAATGATACTACTTCAACTGTAAACCATGGGATCTGAAGCTTATATGTTAATTTGTAAACTCCTTGAGGGTACCTTGCCTGAAACGTATGCGTTTCCAACAGTGTCTACACCCAGTGAGTGCTCACGTGATGAAGCTTTGCAAAGTAGATGAGGTGCAGAGAAACCAAAGGCAGGGAAAGAAGAGCCAGGAAGCTTTCATAATAGATTAGATGCAAGGAGATGTGGGCCAAAATGAGGATGGTAGCAGAGGACTGAAAAGGATATTCCAAGGAAAAATCAGCAGGGTTTAGTGACCAAAGGCAAGGAGACAAACCTAAACTGTATTCATTTCTACCTCCAGCAAACAAATGGGAGTTGGAGATAGCAGAGAAGAGTGAAGGTCACCGTAGTAAGGACACAGCACACATTAGGCACACAAAATATTTTCTCAAACATCAGTAGCAGGATTGGACCAGAAGACACTTAAGGTCCCTCCAAAGCTGAGGTTCTGTGGTGTATGCAGATGCTCAAAATTTTGGGGAAACAAGGCATTTTCAAATATGGAAGAAAGAGAAAATGTAGAGTTGTTATCCTTCCACTGGAAAGCCCTTTCTGGGAAGGGTTAGCACTGCGTCACAAGACCCCCACCAGTGATACAAAGGAGGTGTAAGAGCAAGAGGAACAAAAACCTCAAACCAGAAATTTCAATAAATGCTTACAAATCTTTGCAAACTTCCCAAGTTATTCATTTCCCTCAAAATCCTGTGAGTTAAGTAGGGCAGGTATTATCAGCTCTATTTTTATACGAAGATAATGAAACACAGCAAGATTAAGTGACCTGCCTGAGTTCATAAAATAAATGAATGGGAAAGCAGTGATGAAGACTTTTGTGTCCTGATTGCTGCCAGCCCAGTGCACTTGACACTGTACCACATTGCTTTTCCTCCCTTTTCCCTGGTATAGAGGTCATGTAACCAGAAGTTATGTGTGCACATGGCCAAATAGGGAATGCACAAGAAACTGCAGCCTTATCTCAGAAAGTTATTAATACTTCATCATTATTCCTGGAGCTGACTATTTGGTTTCCATATGCACTCAGCCCTTGACCCGTCATCTGAGTGTATCTGCAGCTGGGAATGTAGAATTAGTGAGTTGTTTAATGATATGAACACCTGTTTTCTAGGAACTTAAGGAAGCTCATTTGGCATGGGCCCTTAATACTATCAGCATTGTGCCCAAGTTTGTACTTCCTTCTGTTGCTTTTTTAAGTGAGGGTTCAAGAGTTCTGCTGACACTTGTTTTATCTTCATTTAAAGAAATGCTCATTGCTTGAACTAGTTCCAGAGACATAATTTTGAGAGCAGGAAAAAAAAAAAAGACAAAACCAGGAATTGTGGGAAACTTGAGAATTTTTTTAGAATATAGACCAAGAAGGAGAATAAAGCCTATCAATTTAAAAGACATTATTTAAATTCATAATTACTAATTTATATCTCTAATCAATCCCTTATTGAATGCTTTACCTATATTTGAAAAAAAGAACATGAGATTATTAAGCAGCAGAGATTTCTTAAAAGCTTCTTTATTCCTCAGTAAGAAAGAACACTCTACAAATCTAGGGACTGTTTTTCTTTTTAGACCATTACTCTTGATGCTGGTTAAATAAGACTCTTGGCATAATTAAGTATAATGTTAAGTGAAGTTGTGTTAGAATTTAATAAAATCAGCTAAACACTAAAACCTATGTTCAAGACAGATGATCAAATATAATGAATAAAATAATTAGCCAAGAGAATATATTATAAACAGGGAATCCACAAACATATTTTTTTTTCTTCTCTGGTCTCATGGAATCAAATGCAGAGACAAACTCCAGGTGGGTTGGTGAGTGCACCAGTTAGTTCTGGGATATGGGAATATTGATAGCTATAAAGGGAAGGAATTTCATCTCTGACATAGAATTTGAATGTATCTTAGACTCATCTGTGCTTTCCGTTTACTGAATATCATCTACTGTGACTATCACCTACTTTTTTTTATTTACTTTGACTGGAGAGACAATATAAAACTTTAAAAATCATATAAAGGACACTCAAGTTTGGCCAAGTTAAAGTTCTTGCAGTAAAATTATTTTGTCCATGTTAAACATTTGTAGCATTTTGAACTCTTAAGTATATTTGTAAAAAGTGTTCTCTATAAGTAAGTTGAGGTTGGTTTATTTTTTCCTGACTTGAATATTTATATTGCCTTAACTTTATTTTATTATAGAATTTTAAATATAATGTTTCCCCATTTGTTTTTTAGAACCTTAAAGAAAGAATAAAACAGCAAGAAAAGGACCAGATTGTGACAAAGACCCACTTGGGTAGGTTTATATTTTATACTCAACTGGATGGTAAAAAAAAAATATATATATATATATATATATACATATATATATTTTTTTATTTTCTCTCCTAAAAAATTAATGTTTAGAAAAATATATAGTTAGCACATATGTACACCAATATAATTTTAAGGACTACTGAGGTTTTTTTTTTAATTGCATTTCAAATGTGTGCGCCTCCAGCAGCTCTGTTGCATGTGCTTTTTTTTTTTAGATTTTTTTTTATTGGGGAATTGGGGAAGGGTAACAGTGTTGGGGAATCGGGAAAGGGGAACAGACAAGTTATTGTCCTTGTGTTCTTCAGTCCAGTTGTGGAGGACGTTGCTTCACTGGCCCATGTTGGTATTATCATTGCGCTCTTCCCAGGTGAGGCAGATCAGTCGCCGGTCACTGGATGGCCGCTCCCGCCGGCTGCCCACCGCTCACACCAGCTGCCAGCCACTCACTGTAGCTTATGGCAGCCCACTGGCAGCCTCACAGCAGCCTACGTTGTCACCGGCGACTCACGGCAGCCCAGCTCCAGGTTGAGCTGTTGTTCACCATCTTAGCTGTAGAGGGCGCAGCATCACAGGCCCTAATGTGGGATCTGAACCCAGGCCCTGCTGCTCAGAATTGGAGACCCAAGCCAGCTCTTTTTTTTTTTTTTAATTGGGGAATTGGGGGGATGGGAACAGTGCTGGGGAATTGGGGAAAGGGGAACAGACAAGTTGCTGTCGTTTTGTTCTTCAATCTACTTATGGAGGATGTTGCTTCACTGGCCCAAGTTGGCACCATCATTGTGCTCTTCTCTGGCGAGGCAGATCAGTCGCCGGCTCCTGGACGGCCGCTCACCGCGGCTGCTGGCCGCTCACTGCGGCTGCTGGCCGCTCACGCCGGCCGCTGGCCACACACGGTAGCCCATGGCAATCCACTGCCACAGGGACCGCAGCCCACGCCGTCGCCGGCGACTCATGGCAGCCCAGCTCCAGGTTGAGCCGCCGTTCAGCATCTTAGCTGTAGAGGGCAGTGTCCCTGGCCCTCATATGTGGGATCCGAACCGAGGCCCTCTGGCATCCCAAGCCAGCTCTTAACCAACGCGCCACTCGGCCGGCCCTGCATGTGCTCTTTTGATTAGTGGTTAGTTTTCCTCTCTTTGGATCTCTTGCATAAATAACACCCAATTAACATTATCATTGTTGAGTTCCCACAATTGACCTAGTATGAAAGTACTTAACAGAATCTAGTACAAGGTAGTCGTTCAGTAAACATTTGATCTTTTTTTCTTAAGATGCATTCTAGACATTCCATGTGTAGACATGTTGTGGAGGTAACAAGAAAAGTTCAGTATAATTATTAACACTTTAGAGTTTACAGTGTTTTTTAGTGCTAGTATAGAATGAGAACCTAATCTAAAAATCAATAATCTATTCAAGATTTTCTTCCTTTAATGATAGCTGTTATATTGATACCAGTCAGCTATCATCAACTTAAGTGCTATTGTTTCATGAAGAAAAGATTATGGAAGATTCATAATCTTTACTTGTGAGTATATCCGTATCAATGCAAGTGTAATGGGGCAAATGCTGGAAGAAACTTGTCCTTTTTTCTCTCTTCCAAGTTCTGGAGTCCAGTCTAACTCTAGCCTAAACCTCTACTGACAGAATTTCAGCTTATGCAGCCTTCTCTTCTCAATAATGCTTGGATTCGGGCCGGCTGAGTGGCTCAGTTGGTTAAGAGCGTGAGCTCTGAGCAACAGGGTCGCCGGTTCGATTCCCACATGGGCCAGTGAGCTGCGCCTGAGCTGTCATTGAGCTGCCATCAGGTGGCAGGACAGCTCAGCTGGTGAGAGCATGTGCTCCTAACAAGGTTGCAGGTTTGACTCCTGCATGGGTTGGTGGGCCACGCCCACTTGCAACTAAGATTGAACACGGCGCCTTGAGCTGAGCGGCCGAGAGCTGCCCTGAAATGCCGACAGGTGGCCGGATTGCTTAGTGGTTAGACTTGGAGCTGAGCTAACTGCGCCCTGCACAGCTAAGACTGAAGGACAACAACTTAGCTGTTCCCCTTCCCCAATTCCCCAATAAAATCTTTAAAAAAAATAATAATGCTTGGATCCATCGGGAACAGATTTCAAACCCCAAATCAATTTCACACTATTTGCTCCTTGTTTGGAACTGTCTAAACCGGAAGCTAGTGTGGTTACACATTTGGGTGGCATTCCTGTTCTAGGCTCTCTCACTGAAGAGAGAATAGGGTCAAAACTGAACCAAATTGCAGCACCATCTGCTACTCCATTTACCCATGGCATTCAGCCATTTTCTTGGTACAGGCAAGAGACCTCAGAAAACAAGACCTATTTTTCCCCCTTATGCAAAAAGTGTTTTATTCCTTCTGCTGTACTATATCAGTTAATGAGTGTAAATCAAGAGAAGCTAAATTAGAAGGCCTCATAATTTGGAGAAATTTACTATGAAGTTGATTTCGGTTTCAGATTTAACTGTTTTCCCTCCTAATTTTTCTTTTATTTTCAGGTTCTCTTGTTTACAAACTCCTCCCCGTCTGGTGCTGCAACAATGAGTGGGAAATCTCTGCTTTTAAAGGTCATTCTCTTGGGTGATGGTGGAGTTGGGAAAAGCTCACTTATGAACCGTTATGTAACCAATAAATTTGACTCCCAGGCTTTTCACACCATTGGGGTAGAGTTCTTAAATCGAGATCTGGAGGTAGATGGACGTTTTGTAACTCTCCAGATCTGGGACACTGCAGGGCAGGAACGTTTCAAGAGCCTTAGGACACCCTTCTACAGGGGAGCAGACTGCTGCCTCTTGACTTTCAGCGTGGATGACCGGCAGAGCTTCGAGAACCTTGGTAACTGGCAGAAAGAATTCATCTACTATGCAGATGTGAAAGACCCTGAGCACTTCCCCTTTGTAGTTCTGGGTAACAAGGTAGACAAAGAGGATAGGCAAGTGACTACTGAGGAGGCACAAGCCTGGTGCATGGAGAATGGGGATTACCCTTATCTAGAAACAAGTGCCAAAGATGATACTAATGTGACAGTGGCCTTTGAAGAAGCTGTCAGGCAGGTGTTGGCTGTAGAGGAACAGCTGGAGCATTGCATGTTAGGTCACACTATTGACTTGAACAGTGGCTCCAAAGCAGGATCTTCATGTTGTTAAAAGTAAGAAGCCTTTTAAAAGTGTGCCCCAAATTGATCAGTCAGTAATATAAGAATAATTGTGCCCCTCTAAGAGTGCACAAACAAAAAAAAGGTAAGAGTTAAGGTTGTAATTGTTAATCAGAGCCTTTCAAACTGAAGTTGTAGAGCAGTATTTTTAAAAGTGCTTTATCAAGCCAAGTGTATTTTGCGTGATTTCTGCTATTTCCTTCTTGTGTGTATCAGGACACTTCAGAAAGCTTTAGTCCTGAGAGATGTAAATGTTTGTTCAAATCACAGTTTAAACTTAGAACCCAGCCGCATGAAGGAATTAAAGAACTACAGCTATCCCTTAAAGCGTTCCGTTAATCAACTAACAAATGTCACCATCGACTCTTGCCAAGCAGTTTTTGACATGTCTGCTAAAGGGAGGGTGGGAAATAATACTCCGAGCTGTATTACAATAAAAATAATAATACAAACATGGATATACTAAGCTCGAATTATGAAGAGGTTGTAATGAGTACAAATGCAAAAAGTGTAATGATGTACACTGCCTTGTTTAAATCCTTATGTATGGTTTGCTCCCATCTGAGCTTTTCAAAAAATACCATCTCAATAAGCGATACACTAATGACACTGGAAATTAATTATACCCCTTGTGTTTGAAGTAGCAGGGTACTAGGAAATGGATTATGCTTAAATATGCCAACCACCCTTGCAAATAAATGGCTGGTCTGCTTTTACTTCATAAGTCTACTTTTGCTGCATAGGGATGTTGCTTCTCTGACAACCTCTTATCAATTTAGCAATGCTGCTTAATATATGGCTTTGGATACAGTGCTCTCTGCTCGTAATTTGATGGTCCTTTGGTCCACCATGCTGTGCTCTCAGAGAAGCCTTCAGAAAAGATTGGGTGATAATGGGCTTTTCTCCCAAGGTTCCTTAATTTGCATATTTGTAGAAGAAGAAACTGATTTCTTGTATGTTGTACTGTATGTTCAGCTGGCCAAATTAGGACCTTGAAAGTGACAAGAGAGCAGACTTTAACCCAGTGTTAGAATGAATGTCTCATAATTAGTGTTGTCCAACAGTGGAATGGACTGCCTTAATAGTGAACTTATTTCCAGTAAAAATATTCAAGAAGATGCTGGATGACCATCTTAAAATACCATTAAAAAATTCTGTACTGGCTAGATGTTTGGTTTAAAGTCCCTTCCAGCTCGAAGTTCTGTAAATCCACAAGCTACAAATTACGTTTCAGTGCCATGTTATAGTTAGATGTATCTTAAGACAACAGCTAAGACTATGGAGAGGGACTTTAAAAATGCCCAAACTATTCTGGGATCAGCATTTAACAGCAAGTACATAGCTCAGTCTTTTGCTTTTGCATAATGGCAGGAGAAATTATTAAGATCTGAGTAATCATTATGTGCCCTGATATAAACATCTTAAAGATACCATATTAAAATATAACAGCGGTTTATCAAATTTTGATTACCATGTCTGCCCGCCCTCCACATGCAGTCTAGTTTTTGTCAGTTGACCTGTTTGTCCTGCATAGCTTTTAATCTATACTTTAAAAACATCTATGATTAAAAATAGTGACCCAGGTTAGTGAGGGACAGTTAGAAATGACCCCCAAATGAGACCTGGGCCAGGGAGGGAGCGGTGGGAGCTTTCACAGGAATAGAGTCTAGAACTCTCCATTGTAGCCACGTATGGAATCAGCCTTACACGTGGGACCTTATATAATTTAAGAGCTCTGGGACTTTTTGGCCACATAGACAATTGGAAGACAGTGTTTCAACCCAGTCATACTCAATATTTCCAATTGAAATATACTCCTGACCCCATTGTCCAACTAACTTTGATGACAGAAGTCAAAGCCAAAACTGGGACCCCACAGCTCTTAAGTATTGGTCCCTATCCTGCCTATGCCTATAGCCAGCCACAGTGGTTTCCAGGTTTTGTAATCATTTTGCTATAATCATGTTAGGGTGAGAATCTGTTATGTCAGCACTGTTAAATGCTAATTGATTTAAGTGCATGAGACCTGGGGCTTTCTCTTTTTACTTATACTCTGCTTATGATAGTTTCAATTTGTAGATCTCAGGCCTTCATAAAGACCTCCATTCACTCACAGAAGTACTTGTCTCAATTAGAATGGCATGTGGTCATTTAAGTAAAAAAAATTACATGGGTATCCTATTCATAGGCCTCTGTCCATCCAAGACAAGTGTTAATTTTATTGGCAGATCAACTGAAGCCCTTTTCCTCTTAGCCATACCAATTTTTTTCTACCAAATCACTAGACAATATCTTAATGAAAGCAGTTAACATTAAGTAACAAAAATAGTGGCATTTTGGTGACTAACACTCGGTAGAGTGCTGATGTATAATTTGGGTGAGATTAAAACACACCAAAGGCTGAAATCTGTGAGTACCAGGAACTGTGCATATAGGCTTAGAAATTACGTACCCTAGAATGTGCAGAACCGCATTTTGAGTAGATTTTTTTCATGAACACTAGATTTTTTGAATAAGATATTTCTAATTGGAACTATACCGTTTTTCAATGGTGTATTAAAACATCATACAGAATATTTATTTAGTTTATTTTCATGTATTGGGCTAACATTCAGGGGGCCTCAGATTCCATATGTCTTCAGTGGAATGATAAATTTCAGGTTAATTTGTGCCTGCCCCAGCCATCTCTACTTTACCCTGAGGTATTCCAGAATCCTCTTGTTGCAGGTGCTGCTAAAAACCCAAAATTGTGTATCAGATATTTTGTTTCAACTGTAAAAAGTCATCTGTGTTGAAGTAAATAAAGTGCATTTTGAAAAACCAGCATACAGTGTTTGGGCTTCTACTCTCCCTTTCTCTTTTGAGCCACTGGCGGGCATGATAGACAGTACTTATCAATCAAGTCACTTGTTTAGGCTGCACTGCATGTGGCCCATAGATCATTTTTTCACATGGTACTCCAAGCAGCCACTACCCAGTGATCAGACAGATACTCTTGTACTGATTGGGAAACAAACTCAAAAGATCAATGTGGGGAGATTTATTTTATGATGCTTTTTAATGCATGAAGAGTACTGGGACTGGAAATTGGATCTTGACTCTCCACTTTATTTCTTCATTATAATTTATGGTAAAACAAATGTTAAAACATCACAAAATATAAACAGAATATACATATTCCCCTTGTTTTCTTGAATGGTATACTGTCCAGATTTTAGGAAACATGGAAATATAGGCAAAATCAATCAGAAAACCAAGGATAATTTTGTTAAATATTCTCTTGCGGGCTGGCTGAGTGGCTCAGTTGATTAAGAGCTCACTCAAGAGTGCGAGCTCTGAGCAACAGCAGTTAGATTGCCGGCCTGAGCTGAGCAGCCTCTGAGCTGCCAACAGGTGGCAGGATGGCTCAGCTTAAAAAAAAAAATCTCTTGCCTCTCACATATTGTCCTGTAAAGATTAGCATCAAATGGATTGAATATATACAGTGGCTACTTTTCAATTGCAGTTTCAAGTCTCTCCACAGCACAAAATTTCATTACATTCATTCCATTGGTCACAGATTTAGCTCTCTTCTCTCCTCTACTTTTTGCCTGTTGGAACTTTGGTAAGTCAAAATCAGAGGGG